GGTGATAGGCACAGAGGGGGGGCAGAGAGAGAGAAGAGGAAGGATGAGGATGTTAAGAGGGGGTGGGAGCTGTCAAGGCTTTACTCTCAGGGTACTCAGTGAAGGAAAAAATAAGCCAGAGAATCTAGGATGCCTTCAGGTGTTAAAACATTTTTAGATTTTTAATCATTTCAAGTGGAGCTGCAGGAGACAACAAACCAAATCAAAATCTGCGAGCCGAGGACGAAACGCAACAAATACTGTTATTACATCTTTAATTTGTCCTTCCTCATAACAGCCTCTCTAAAAAAAAAAAAAAAAACCCACATACTCAATCAAGTGGCATGATGTCCCATTTCTGCTCTGTTAGCATCACGCGAGGCTTAATAAGATGTTTTCTCGAAAGAATCAGCCGCTGTGTCCAATGTGCAGAGCACATCGCAGGGGACGCTCCGGAAAATGTTAACAACGTTTAGGATACTCAGTACTTTTCATTACAAGTGATAAAATGTAGTAGAAATGAATTTAAGGCCGCAGAAGAACAGAGCACTGTCAGCAACATGAGAATGGATCCAATTATATCAAATGCTGCAGCAAAGAGTAAAATCAACCCACTCCATTTACAAATTTAGAAATTCCCAGGCTTTGTATTGATGGTCTGTGGTTAAACGATCTTCCCTTGCAGCTGAAAAGCCACAAATGCCGTCTAGGGACTCCAGATAAATTGGTAATGCATACAAAAGGCAGTATGGTGTCTCGCAAATACGTCTTGCTTTCAGTTCATGAAATATTCCCTCAGTTCTGCAGAGGGCTGGAGAGCTTTTTTTCTATAATTACAAGTGCTTCTCTTGTCTTTTCTTAGAGAAGAAATTTAAAAAGAAAAACTCTCGACTAGTCAACGATGCTATCCACAGTGGCTTCTGCTGATGCATGTAAACTAACCGTTGAACTAATTCGTATGCCGCATGCGTGCTCTCCGACAGGAAAATCTGTGTCAATAAGAAACGCACTCAAATGTAACACCCGAAGCCGCCAATGGTGAGAAACCCACACTGGCCATTTTCCCCGGGATTTCTGCGGTGCTGTGACAGTCAATAAAAATGTCTGCAAACCGACGACCATCCAAAGAAAATCAGAAATGTTCTCGCACACTTAAGACAGAATCGTCACGAATAAGAAAAGTTGGCGTTTTTGTACGTCTCTATAGAAACAGAGGGTATTTTTAGTTTTACTAAGATGGATTCAAACCCTCCTTATGTGTGTGTTTGTGTTCTTAGTCAGTGTCACAAATGAAAAAAACACATAAGTCATCGGTTGACTTTTTCTCCGGCCAATATTCACCTGGATGGAGTTCTCCTGCAGGTTGAGGTATCTGGTGTTGACCGATATGCTCTCGGGCACCTCCTCCAGGTTCTGCCTGGTGCAGATGACCCGGCTGGCCTGGTTGGAGCAGGTGCAGGGCGACGGGCAGGAGGAGGCGGCTCCCACCGACTCCGGCCCGGGGAGGAGGAGGAGCCGCAGTAGCAGCTGGGCCAATAGAAAGAGGAGGGGGGAAGGGCCGGGGAGGCAGGTCAGCGTGGCAATGCGCATGGCAACTGGGACATGACCCTGCCCGTTAATCCGAAGGTACAGGTGAGGTGGCGTCACACTGGTGGATTTCCCGCGCGGTTCGCCCCCCTTTCGGTCCTCCAGTGGCAATCTGTTCTTCCTAATTCCTCATCCTCCGAGATGTTCTCGTCCTCTGTCAATCCCCGGGCTTTCCTCTCTTGTTTTTTGAACATAGGAACATGCAGATGAACAGATGTTATTCCTCTTTTTTTCTGGGCTTGCTCGGGGATTTGCGCGGGTGTTTGGAGAACCCAGGAGTCACTGTGAAGGATAAAAACAAGAGAAAGACAGGAAGAGAGCAGATATTAATGATAGAGCCCAGACTGCGATTCAAGGAACAAACAGTAGATAAATACTGTATAGTTCATTACAGGAGGGATTGTCAGCCAAAAGAAATCTGTCAGAACGTCTGTGTCGCCGCACAAATCAAATCCTGCTTAATCCCCGTGCAGACATTTTGTCAGTAATCGAATCCACACGTGTAGGAAAAGTGAAGACGGTTTCTATGATTCAATGTTCAAATCTGAGGGGCAGAAATGAGCAGTCTAAAGGAGACTTTTAGATTCTGCATCCAAATGAAACTTTAAAACAGAGTTTTATTGTAGCTCCAACATAAACAGGAAGTTTGTTTCATGCTGAATGACATAACAACATAGTGGTAAAAACGGCATCAGATGGTAAAGCTTTGCTTTAATCAGCGGTGGTCTCTTACTTTTAGGTGATTAATTGAGTTTTTTCAGGAAATGAAAGCATTTAATCCAACCGTGTGAACAATATCACACATATGTATTTGGAGGCTTCTCTTTACTCAAGAAGGAAGTAACACACACCAATATGGACACTCAAGGGGTCAAATTTCCATCACAAATAACAAAGGCCCTTAAATTATGACACAACAGGGATTGATGGCCAAATGAAGGCAGGAACCAGAAAATGACCAGAAACTTCCAGAGACCAGAATCGTTTCAGTAAAATAGGAAAATAGGAAACGGCTGAAATAAGTAATGAAATGACTGCTAAACTAAAGGCAAAGAACCAAGAGACTCAAACCAAAACTAGACCTCAGAATATCAATGCAGAAGAAAAAAAGAAAGACAAAAATAAAATGTAATAATTCACGATTCTAACTGTGATCAAACTGGCTGCTTCTAGAAAAGAGACAAAAGAGACACGTCTGCATCAGCGTTAAGGCAAGAAAAAAAGGACAAAATTACAAAGAAGCTTTATTTGAGTGATTTGTTTTGTGAAAATGATATCAAAGATATCATTTTTATTTTACATTACCTTCACTGCCACTATAATTACAATGAGCTGCTATGTAGTCAATAACAACTCCAGCTCTTTTTTACAAACTCATACAGAGACACCTGACAGTGGGCAAAACCAATCAATGCCCTGAATACACAAACTTTAAAAAGCTTTTCTTTTTTTTAAACCAATAATAAGCTCAAATTCTCTCAGTGAAAGATTGAGGTTGAAAATAAATACTTCTGTTTACTATGCTGAAAGAGGCATCTCTGATTTAGCCACAAACCTGATTTTTCAAACCCACCAATCTTTACTGTAATTCCATCTATTGGCCCAAGGAACATTAAAATGACAAATGGAACAAATAGAGAGAGTAAGAGAGTAAAAAAAAAAGAGTTAACTGCTAACGAATGACTATAAAATGATCATCAGTTTTTATTTTTTAACAAAACGGATGCTGAATAAATAAATGAATGAATGAATGAAAGACACCATGGACTTACAGAATAGGAATGTTATTTAAAAAAAAGGACCGATCATCAAGATTTTACGTATCAGTCAAGGCTTTTATATATACTTTTAAATTTACACAGGCTGGATTTTATGCAGAAAACATGATATTTTAGAGCAAAAGAAGCAAAAACAATTGGAAAAAGCTAAAACGAGATGTACTCCACCTCTATTTTCTAGGCCGGTTTATTCCCGGTGGGGGGTGGGGGGCTTTGAGCCTGTCCCAGCCGTCATTCATGTGGGGTACACCCTCGCTGTTAGGTGATGGTGCTAATCTCAGGGACATTTGGTCTTAAATTACAGAGGCTTCCCAATATCTCGGGCAGGGTTTTAACGCATTAGCACTAATTATACCGAGAAATAACAATTAACTTGACAGTGATTTATTGATCCTCACAGCTGTGTTGTCTGAGTGTTAGCTCCTGGTGGGCTCTCCAATGGCAAATCCGTTCCACGGGAGGGGGGGAGACGTGGATAGATTTAAAGATCGTCCATGGAGTGGCACCGGTGTAAAATAGCCACCTCACCTGGAAAAGGGAAACTGGGGCAGCCCCCTGGAGCCCGGTGGCCGAGGCCTGGCCCCGGAGGCCCAGGGAAAAACAGGAAGTCGGTTTCATGTGGGTTCAGGTCTAATGTGAGACCCTCACGCTTTGGGACGGGTAAGGGCGGTCAGCAAGCTGAAGGCCTCTGGGCTTGGACGTCCCAGGGTTTATGAGTAGCAGCTGATAGGCACAGTGGCCAATAGGGTTGTAGTGCTGGTGGTCGTTGAAGATAAAACTCAGGTAAAAGAAGAATTCCGCATGGCCTCGGAGAGGGCCGTGCAAAGATGTTCTGGGAAATTAACTCAGGAACAGAGAGCAGTGCCTGTCCCAAGCTGTGCTTAGCCTGAATGGAAACCAGCCAACCAGCCGGCATAAGGACCGAGGGAAGATTCACCCATCACCTTTTCAGAGCTCCTGTTTATCACATGGACAAGGTGTCGAGGCACCGTTGGGGGAAGGAAGGTGGCTAATTGGAGAACCGAAGGGAAACGTGAGCTCAGACCTCTCAGTTTACCGGTCCATCTTTGTCCCAACCCTCACATAGTCATTAGGACTGGATACAAGCAGGTAAAATGGGTTTCTTTGGACGTCTGGGGAAGGGAAGTCTAGGTTCACCCCCTGAACCTTTTGTAAAACTGATTTAAGTGACAGATGAGATGAGAAAATATATGATAGTCCTTTAGTAGTCCCACAAAGGGGACATTTGAATGTTACAGCAGATAAAAAGCAATCCAAAATTGTGTGTATATATATATATATATATGCCACACTCCACAACTGTAATTAAACTTAAGCTTATCAAAAGTCCAAACCCCGAAAACAATAAGCTTCTGGAACCACTACGCAGTGGCACTTCTGTATTTGTTTCGCAGCAGCACAGACACGGAGGTGGGACTGAAATGCTAATTCCATTCTTGTGCGCGCATAGTGCTGAATGCTCCAGGGGCTGGAGAATGGTGGCGAATGGTGCAGTCTACATTAGCACTAATAGATGGCCAGTCAAGTCAGACTCCCCCAGCCTGCAGAGGCAGAGAGCCTCCGTTCCCCTCTGCGGGTTATTCAGACACCAGTAACCTTAAAATAAGGGCATCCAGCAATCTAGATGTGGTTATTAATGATGATAGTTGTAATGATGGGACTTTGACACTCAAACTCATTTGACACGCTGAGCATCCTCGCTTGGCAGGCCGGTTTTTTAAGGAGGGGAGGGGTGATGGGTTGTAGTGAATGAGAAGGAGAGAAGGATTATTAATCTGATAGATGACTGTATGGCTGCAGGCAGAGGAGGGAATTATCAACACTACAGTAATGGATGAATACCGAACAGCTGCGGAGAGAAGGCCGGAGAAAGAGAGGCAAGCAGGAAGAAAGAGATAGAGATGGAGACATATGGAGGGAAGGCTGAGTGAAAGGGCTAAAGACCCGGAGAGGTATAAATAATGGGAAGAGCGGAAAAGAGATCAGTTGTCGAAAAAAGATGAGATAAAGAAGAAGAGCGAAAATAGGAAGGCAGAAAAGAAGAGACATTAATATTAATAATCTCTCACTCCATAAGAGAGAAAGAAGAGAGGAGAAGAGCCTCAATAGAGAGATGAATATAAAGCAGACGGAGATGGAGGGAAGGGGGGGGGACAACACGGAGGAGCACACAAAATGGAGAGATGGAGGTAAACGACAATACGGAGGGATGGATGAGAAACGACTGGGGACAGAGGGAGGGGTGGGGGGTGGGGTTAAACTGGTGGGGCCAAACCGATCGCTGGTGCGTACGCTGAAGTTCAATGGCATTAAAACACCAAACGAACAAGCCGGCGAGGTGTGGCCGGAGTTAAGGTGGGAGCTGGTGTCGGAGGAGGAGTGAAAGGAGACCCGGAGAGCCTGGTTGGATGGATCCTGCAGTCACGTGTTAAAACACCTGGAACTTTTCCTCCTCGTCCTCTCATTTCCTCCTTTATCTCCCCAGACATCTTCCACCTCCTATCTAAAAGTGGGAACTCGCTTTTCCTCTCAGTGAGCTGTTTCTGCAAAAACATCCTCCCCGTTTGGATCTTGGTGATAGTTCCCGGTATTGGGGGAGCGAGGATAAACACTGACCTTGTAGTCTGATGAAAGATTAACCTGCTACAGAGGTGCGTATTAACCCTTAACCCCCGACTTTTTCTCCGTCCACAAACAAACTGCAAATGCATCTCCCCCTGTCCCCCACAGACTCCCCCCCCCCACTTTGGCTCTCTCACTCCTGCCGCTGCATTCAAATCCCAGCCAACAGAGTTACCATGGTTACCTATTCACCAGTCTCTCACTCTGTCCAGCTGTATCCTACGTCCAGCCCTCTCCTCCTCCCCAGCCTCCCCTCATTAGCACCCTACACACACGCGGATACGAGCGGCCCGAACCGAAGCGCGAGTGACATCAACCCTTTTCAAAAAGCCACGAGGCAGCGTCCCACCAGACAGCGCCGCGGGGTCCAGCCGCCATGCGGACGCCACGGTGGTGACCGAACGCTTTCACCCATCAGCAAAAAATGTTGAGTTGCCACAAATCCGAGGGGCAGAAGTCAGGGTCGTTTCTCCAGTGAGAGCTGATGGAGGGGCATATTTAAAGGCACACGAAATGGCTCTTTGGTCAAGTGACGAACACTGGACTGTCGAATGAAGACCATGGGGCCGTTTGACCACATGCCCACAGGTTTGTCCAGAAAATACTTTTAGTCAAAAACATTAAAAGCACTTGCAAAAAAGCCAACAGATTTCCATCCAATTAAATGTTTGTGCCGCTTGTACCTCGGAGCTGAAATGAAGAGAGTCTCGAAAAAAAACAAGAACTCTGACAGGCACGGTCTCACCTGTAAGAAACGTTCGCGCACTCGCAAGGTGGGACTTGTCAGGAACAAGGTTTATCTGAAGTAATCAACACATTATCTAAGCTGTTTGTTAACCCAAAGAGGTGAGAGTGCTTAAATAGT